GTGTCTCACCCACTTCCCCAGCTACCAGCAGTGAAGACAGCACGATTCTGGATTCAGCCCCATCTCTGACATCCTGAAATTGCTGTCCTCAGATGTCATGAGACGCATCCGCCTGTTTGCCCCGAACACCCTGTGGCCCGCTGTCCTATGGCCATATGGGGCGTTCTGGGGCCTGGGAACTCTCAGTGCAGTTTCCACTCAAAGACTCCTGCCTCTAACTCTGGCACATCAACTGCCACCCCGTGACATTTCCATTTGTCACCATGGATCAGTGGTTCTCACCTGGAGTAATGTGGCAACATCTGGGGCCTTTGCCTTGTTACCATGGGAGTGGGGGTGCCGCTGGCATTTAGAGTTGAAGGACCAGGGAAGTGGCTGCATGTCCTACAATGCACGGGGCAGTCCCCACAATGGGACTAACATGTCCCAAGATATCAGCCGTGGCAAGGTTGAGAAACTCTTCTGGGTGACAGGTGGAGAACTCAACAAGGAGTTACAGTGCGGGCCGTCTTTTCTGTCTGGAGAGCAGAGAAAGAGCAGCAGGCTCGTTGGACCTGCAGGTCACGGAGGTTACAGGGTCAGGTAGATTCTGAGTCTCAGGTGGCTCCTTCCAACCCTACCAGAGGCCCAGGAATGGGGACAAGCCCTTGGGAATGTCGCATTCAGCAGGTGCTCCTAAATGGCAGATCAGACTCCACCCAAAGCATTTATTGAGTGCCTGATTGTGATAGCGCTGGCTGTCCACTGCAGCTCAGGTGGAAGGCACAGAACTGGCAAAAGGAAGCCATTCAACCAAGAAGTGACTGGGGCCAGGGCCGGGGTCTATGGTCAGTGTACACCCACCCAAAACACAGGAAAATGAGAAGGACTGGCTACGTTGGGATCTGGTCCCAACACATCCCAATATGTCGCCAACAAATCACTTCTAGCAGCTAGCTCCTCCCACCACCCACAGACACAGTGCCTGTCATATAAAGGAGGTTTTCCTCAAGTGGTTCAGCCAGAACTGGAAGGGCCCTGCCCTGTGTCGGGCCACAGCGTGACGGTGACTCCAGCAGCCAGTGGGGGCAGGGAGCAGCCTCGGTCCGCATGGATCCTGGGGTCCTGGGGCTCCCAGGCGAAGTGTGGGCGCGCTCTGTGAGCCTCCGCAGGACCTGAAGGCTTTGCTGTTGCCTTGTGGGAGTTTTTGTAGATGTCCCTGGAAATGCAGGTAAGCAAAAAAATAAGGAAACAAAGGGCCCTCAAGACTCACTCTTTCAAAAAAGCACCAATCACAGGTTGCTGTGCACCCTTCTCCGCAGGCATGGACGTTGTGTACATTTTGATTAAAACCAGGTGTGGGAACTGCTGTTGAAGGCTTTGTTCGAGGTGCCTGAGGTGGGGAAGACGCTGAGAGGTGAGGACTCCTGAGCACCCCACAGGGGCCGTGGGACTGGGGGGCCTTAGGACTAAGGTTACCCTGTGCTAATTCAGGATCCTTTAGGATGCGCTCCACAGCCAAGCTAGGAAAGGCCGTTGCAGCGCCTCCCTGCCCCCAGGCCGTACCCATCAGGCTGGGCTTCAGGCTCCCGAAGGCACACAAATCCCTAACCGCTGTGTAAGACTGATAACACTCAGCCGCAGAGGACCCAGGGCTCCTAAGTCACAAGCCCGGCTCCCTCAGCCCTCAGGCCTCAGATCAGTGGGCTGGGAGCGATAAAGAAAACAATACCTGCCCACAGGACTTGCTTCCTAGAGATAAAGAAGGCCTTCCTGCCAGGATGGGATTCTCCCTAGAGGGGTCTCAGAGAGGGTGGCATTCAAATTCTTTGTAGCAAAATGGTTGCGACATACAAGTTTTTTTGGAGTGTGTGGGTGGGTGGAGTTAAGTCTTCCTCAATTGCCCAAGCTGGCCTTGAACTAGCAATCCTCTTGCCTCAGCCTTCGGAGTATGGGGATTTCAGGCTTGTGCCTCACACCTGGCCGTACAGTACAGTTGAGACCGCAGTTGTGAGCGGGCAAAGTGGACAGCCTCTGTGTGAAGTTCCCTCGGAGCAGCCTGATAGGTTCTGCCTTCACCATAGGCACTACTGCAGCAGCCAGCTGGTGAGGCCTGGGTGCAAAGCTTGTGAGCCCCTGCCTCCCGCACCAGCAGCTCCCCTGGAGCCAGACCCCCGGATGGGATGGGTGGGGTCCTGGGCAGCCGGCATTGCTCTCTTCCTGGGCTGACTTTTTTCTAGGCCAGGGGACAAGTGTGACTCCCAGGCCAGACGGGACCAGCCCTGTCCCTGTTTCCCCTCATTGGGGTTCTCTTGCTCATAGTCTGAGGAAGAACCGTGACTCACTTCCTGCCTCAGTCTCGCTGCGGGAGTATTGTTCTCCCAACTGCGGTTGGTGCTGGCAGGGACTACCCCAAGGTGGCCACCATGAGGTTGGCTCCGTGTGCGGGGGAGCCCCCAGTCTGGAAGGAGGCCAACCAGTCTTACACAGGTATCCCCCAAATTTGGGAGCTCCACATTCTCCAAGTTTACAGTTTCTACAGTGTCCATGAGGGTGCCCCAATAGTACCTGATCCTTCTACCTGAATGTTATTTCCATTTTCCAGAGGGGTAAATTGAGGCTTTTGAGAGATTAAGATGGTGCAATACAAAATGGTGTCCCTGGAATTTGAATCCAAGCTGCCTAGCTGACTTTCAAGATAACGTGAGTTACCTCAGGAGTAGTGTTTAACCTCTCTGGGCCTCGGTGGCCTTCTCTATTAAGGTAAATGGTGATGCGTAATGAGCACCTCATGAAAATGACCTGTGCCCACGTCTTGGGGTTTGTGGTGAGGACAGAGTTAGCTCATGAAACGACTCAGAGGGTACCTGGCTCCTACATGGCCCTTGGTGGCTTTTCTGTGTGCCATTCCCGGCAACCTGGGCGAAGGAGGCCAACGGCCAGTGGACAGAGCTGCTGCCGGGTACCTCCCAGGGAGCGGGAGGGGTGAGCCTCCCAGGCTGCGACCTTGAAATGACACAGCCAGGAGGCCCTTGGCCACATATTCCCTCTTTTCCTTCTCAGCTCAAGCAGTGCTGACCTCAGCCAAGTAGCACAGACGTTTTCTAGGGCAGGGACCCAGGGAGGGAGAGGCTTCGGCTCTGCCCAAACACCGGGTTTCTACCAGGTTCTGGGGCCTGCTAGCTGTGTGGCTCAGGGCAGAGTATTTAAAATTAGGGGCCTCGGTTTCCTTATCTGTAAAATGGGATTAATAATGTCAGCATGTAGGAATTATTAGGATTAAATCATGTACATAAGGAGAAGAGATAATGTGAAAGGGCCTGACCAGGTGCCTCGCACCCCATTGGTGTAGGGGGAGTAAAGGTACAAAAAATTAAAAGGAGGTGGGCTACTTCTGCTTATAAATCCACCTGTCTATACAGAAGCAAATAAAATCGTGACTCCTTCCAGTAAGCCCGGAGGTTCGCTCTGCAGCCAAAGGGGCAGCGCACAGCTCCGGGTCGCCATCTCGGGACCTCGGGACCCGTCATGCGGGCCAAGGAAGGGAGACGGCCGAGCCCTGCAGGCCGCACTCCCAGGCACCTCCCGAGGGCTCCGAGTTCGGGTCTCGACTGGGCCCGGGGAGCCGCGCCGGGGGCCGGGGG